GACGCTCCAAGACGACCCCATTGGCCGTCAAGATAACCCCAAGACGGCTTACGATACCCCACAGAGGCCGCAAAACGGCCCAAGAAGGCCCAAGAAGGCCCAAGACGGCCTGATCGGCCCCCAAAACGACCTCAAGGCGGTGCCACAGACCTCCAAGACGGCCCTGCAGGGCCCAAAGGGGAACCCACGACTTCCCAGAGAGGCCTCCAAGACGGCCTCCGAAGGCCAAGGGGTCCCTCAGAGGCCGCCAGGGGCTCCGAGGAGGCCTCGAAGAGGCCACAGGAGGCCCACAATAGACCCCAGGAGGCCCACAATAGGCCCCAGGAGGCCCCCTCGAGGCCTCCAAGAGGGCCCCAGCTCCCAGGAGGCCTCCAGGAAACCACAAGGCGGCATCAAGAGGCATTATGTCCCTACTCCTCCTCCTCCTCCTCCTCCTCCTCCTCCTCCTCCTCCTCCTCCTCCTCCTCCTCCTCCTCCTCCTCCTCCTCCTCCTCCTCCTCCTCCTCCTTCCTCATCATCACCCGTCTCCTTCCTCTCACCCTATTTTCTCTTTCTCCCAGGTGTTCCCCAAGGAGAATCTACAACGGCCAGGAGTACGCATAGTCCGATAACTTGGCCAGATGTTGGCCCAACGTTTAGCCGCATGGGCGTTTCCCGAAGGCTAGGGCGGCGGTGGTTCGCCGCAGGCGTCTTCGATCCGCCGCCCTTCTGTTGCCCAAAAGGGTGCTTGGCGTACCAGCGCTCAACACTTATTAACCCTTCCACCAGGTTTCCAGTGGGGTCTCGGCTCATCCAGACGGCTCCATATCCTCTGGGCGTTTCCGTCCAAGATGGCCCCATGATGGCTCCAAGATGCCCAGGTGGCCTCAAAGACGGTCCGAGGGGACTCCAAGTTCACCGAAGGTGCCTCCAGGACGGGCCAAGAGAGCCCCAAGACTGCCCGAGATGGCTCCAAGACACTGTAAACGGCCCCTAAGACGATCTAAGAACCGTTCAGGATGTAATACAGGAAGGCCCGACGATGCCAGAAGCATTGACTTCCGCATGGCTTTTGGAGGATGTGAGCGTTCTCGCCTCCCAGGGCTTCCGAAGGCCCAAGACCAAAACGGCCCAAGAGGCTTCCAAGATGGCCCCAGGACAGCCCAAGAGGCCCACCCGAGGGCCCCATGACTGCCCCAGAGGATGCCGCCAAGCTGGGTCAAGATGGCTCCAGGTTGCCTCTAAGACGGCCCAAGACGGCCCGAGATGGCCTCTAAGACGGCCCAAGAGGGTCCGAGAGGCCTCCAAGATCGCCCACGATGCCTCCAAGATAGCCTAAGACAGCTCAAGACGGCCCAAACCTGTCTCAAGACGGCCCAGGAAGCCCCACCAACGGCCCAAGAAGGCTTCAAGAGGCTCTCCAGGATGACCCGAAGAAGCAACAACCACTGATTATCCTCAGGTTTGTGAATGGTTTTAGCGCGCTCGACTCGTAAGGCTTCCGAAGGCAAGACGGTCCAAGAGGCTTCCAAGATGGCACCAAGGCAGCCCCAGAGAGGCCCCCCAGAGGACCCAAAGACTGCCCTAGAGGACTCCAGATGGCTTCAGATTGCTTCCAAGACGGCCCAAGATGGTCCAAGATGGCCTGCAAGCTGGCCCAAGACAGTCCAAGAGGCTTCCAAGTCCGTCCAAAATTCTGCAAAGACAGCCCAATATTGCATCAAGACTGTATAGGATTACCTCGATACGGCCCAAGAGGCCCCAATTCGGCCAAGAAGGCTCCAAGAAGCCCTCCAGGAGGCCCTGAAAAAGCACAATCCTTGATTGTCCTGAGGTTTCTGAATGGTTTTAGCGCTACCGGCTCCTAAGGCTTCCGACTGCCCAACACGGCCCCAAGGCAGCCCAAGAGGCCCCCTCGAGGGCCCCAAGACGGCCGAAGAGACTTCCAAGACGGACCAGAGAGGCCGCAAAGGTCTTCGAAGGAGTTAGACGGACCAAGAGGTCCAGGAGAAGGCCCAAGAAGTCACGAAAGGCTCCCAAGAGGATCCCAAGAGGATCCCAAGAGGCCCTCGCGTTCTCGGCTTTCTGGCTCCCCACAGCCCAAGACGGACCCAGTTGTATACAACATAACCACAAGGCGGCCCCAGAAGCCCCAAGAAGGCTTCAAGACCGGACAATGGAGCTCCAAGACGGCCTAAAAGGCCCCCAAGACAGCACAGCCCCAAGAGGGCCCCAAGAGGGCCCCAGGGACACCCCAGACTGCCCTAAAGCTCCCCAAGAAGGGCCCAAGACAGTCCAACAAGGCCTCCTAAGACGGCATCCAAGGCCGAGGGGGCCGCGCGCCATCGGGCCGCCCGCGAGGTCGGGGCTCAGCGCGGCCCCCAGCCCGCGGCCGCAGGAGGTGCGGCGCCCTCGCAGGCTGCAGGCCGCGGCGCGGCCGGCAGCTATGCCCAAGCGGCGTCGGTCGCCCGCCTGGCACAGGAGGCAGCGGCGACTCCGAGCAGAGGCACGCGTGCTACTT